ACTTGACTGCTTGCAGCTGTAAAGAAGTTTTTAGTTTTTTTCTTTTTTATTGGTTTTATATAGTTTAATTCTTTATTAATTTTAAATCTACACGTTAATCTACACGTTTTTATATTAATCTACACGTTTTCTTAATTTATCACTGTAGTTGTTGTTTTATGTTTAGCAGATATTTATCTGCACTTTTCTTTTTAAATTTTTTGTCAAGAAGTTTTTTAACTTCGCTGCTAAAATGGTTTTGCGACATATTTGTATAGATCTGTAATTTTTATGGGATTAATTGGAAAGGTTCAATATTTTTAAAAGAAAGTTTTGGAATTTAAAGCTTTTATATACGGCTTGAAGTTCTTTAAAATCACTTCAAAAGCGATTTTCTGACTTTAGAATAAGCATTGTATTGTTGAATCTGTCACCTTCTGTCTGATTAGCGAAAGTGTTTGGAGTGAGTAAGGTAGGAGGAAAGGTACTGAGTCTATTATAGCTGTAGAGAAGAAATAATCATTGAAACAAATAGTTTGTGTTTTTAAAGCTGCAAAGTGACTACGGGTTATCTAAGGTCTATCCAAGGTTTTTACATTCAAGAAGTTATTTGACAACTTATCCTTAACTAATTTCTTTTACGGCATTCTAACTATCGACTGTAAAGAGCAACCAGAATGATATTGCTCGTAAAATATGTTTTGATTCTTTTTGCTCTTTTATTTGACTTAAGGATTTCATTAACAAAAATTGGTGCTCTTTCTTGGTTGAGATTATACTATTATACTCCAGATGTATTTCAACTTTAGGTTATATATCAGAGTAACTGTGACAGGGGAGCATCTTGAGAACACCACTTCAAATTTGATGTTTATTCGTTTTGTTACATTATTACATTTTGAAACAATAAATTTTTGTTTAAACCATACTATAGTCGACTTTGTTTACTTTCTCACAGCATCAGTTTTTATCTGTAATAATCACTCTTTCCTGTCATGGAGCTTTTAAAAGCATTTGTGATCCAGTAGCATTGAATTGTTTGAGTGTATATAGTAATTTTGCTAAAGTATAACAAATCATCTCTTGTGAAGTGGCTGCTAAAAAAGTTTTGCGTTGAGTGAAGCGATGTAAGCGGAATAAAATCTACCAATTCCAGTGAATGATACTTTAGACACTGTTTAAAAACTCTATTCTTTGTTGGTTCTGTAAGTTGGGTTTATTGAACGTATATTATTACTGACAAATTGTAGGAAAGGTAGTTTTTGTGAGGGTTGATGACGTTTTGACTTTTTTTAGATTGTAAATTGGTCTTGGTTTAATGTTGTTTTTTCTAAATCTACCTGCTATGATGAATTTCTCTCTGCAGTTCGTTGCAGGTGTAGAGCGACTGAGGTAATCAACATTGATAGAGCATTATAAATCAAATAGCTTTATAGCCTCATATTTCTTAGGTTTCTATGAGATTATATATATATATATATATATATATATATATATATA